ATCTCTGAGTTAGAGACCAGCCTGGCCTACATAACAAGTTCCAGGACAGCCAGAGCTACATAATGAGTCTGTCTCCTCCCCTTCCCACTCCCCTTCACCTCTCCCCCTACCCCCCGGATTAGAGAGAGAATTTAGAGGTGAAGAGTGCTTATTGCTCTTGCAGAGGGTCCTAGTTCAACTACAACACAACCTCTACACTTAAGGTCCAAGCACCACATCATGCAGCTCAAAATTGACTGTAACTCTAGCTACAGGGTATCTGACACCTCTGGCCTCTGCACTTACATACACATACCCACACACAGACATACATACATACATACATACGTACATACATACACATAATTAAAAATTTGGGGGACTGGAGAGATGGCTCATAGATTAAGAGCACTGATTGCTCTTGCTGAGGACCCGGATTCGATTCCCAGTACCCACATGGCGGCTACAAACCATCCTTAACTCCAGTTCCAGGGGAATCTGACACCGTCTTCTGACCACTGCAGCACTGTACAACATGGGTGCACTCACATACATGCAGGCAATACACTCATACACATAAAATAAAAATAATAAAATAAAATATACTTTTGAAAAATTTGGGCTAGAGACATGACTCAGCGGTTAAGAGCACGGACTGCTCTTGCAAAGGACTCAGGTTTGAGTCCCAGCACCTACATGGTAGCTAACAACTGTAACTCCAGTTCCAGGTGATCTGATGTCCTCTTCTGACCTCCGAGAACATTGCAAGACACAGGTGTACCTACACACATGCAAGCAATACCCTCACAGACATGAAATAAAAATAATGAAGTATTTTAAAAATAAAAATGAGCTGGAGAGATGGCTCAGCAGTTAAGAACACTGACTGTTCTTGCAGAAGACTGGGGTTCAAATCCCAGCACCCACATGGCAGCCAACAACTGTCTGTAACTCCAGTTCCAGGGGATCCGATAGCCTCTTCTGTCCTCCATGGGCACTGCACAACACAGGTGCACTTACCTACATGCAGGTATAACATTCATACACATAAAATAAAAATAATTTTTTTAAAATATATTAAAAAAAATAAATCTTTAAAAATGTTTTAAAGCAAGGAATACACTCATACACATAAAATAAAAATAAATAAAATATATTTTTTAATGTTTTAAATTGGCTGGGCATGGTGGCGCATGCATTTAATCCCAGTGCTCAGGAGGCAGAGGCGGGCAGATCTCTGTGAGACCAAGGTCAGTCTGGTCTACATAGCAAGTTCCAGGCCAGCTGGGGCTATAGGGAGACCGTGTCTCAAAATTTAAAAAAGAAAAATGTTTTAAATTACTTAATAAGTATGTGGCAAAAGGATGTTAGGATAAAGTCATAAAAATATACAAAGATTCTACCTCAGACTACTGTTTTGCTTTTTGTGGGGTTTTGCCTGCTTGTTTGTTTTTTCGGGAGTTTTGTTTTTGTTTTATAGTACTTTTTGTTTTGGTGGTGCTGAGAATCAAATCCAGGGCCTAATACACAGTAGGCAAACATTCTATTACTGAGCTACATCCTCACCTCTATCAGACTACTTATTTTAATTAAGTTCTTGCTTTAATTTAGAGAACCAAACTTGTTGATAGTATATGATTCAAGCAGGATATTTAACAAATGATTTGGAGCTGGTGCCACCATGCCTAATGACCTGACTTTGATCCCCAGGACCCATACTAGGGAAGGAGAAAATAAGTTCCCAAAAGTTTTCCTCTGACCTCCATACATGCCATAGCACATGCTTGTATAGATGCATGTACATAAAACAAATAAAATGTAATTTTTTTTTTTTTGGTCTTTTTGAGACCAGGTCTTCCTGTAGCCACAGCTGGCCTAGATTCACTAATGGAGACCAGGCTGGCCTCGAACTCAGAGATCTGCTTGCCTATGCCTCCCGAGTGCTGGGATTAAAGGCTTGTACCACCACACCCAGCTAAATGTAATATTTTTAAAAAATGATTTGCTGGACATGGTGATGCCATGTCCTAGTACTCAGAAGGCAGAAACAGGCAGATCTCAGTGAGTCTGATGCCAGGCTGGTCTGCTTAGTAAGTTCCAGGCTACATAGTGAGACCCTGTCTCAAAAAGAAAACAAACAAAAACAAAGGATGTGATCAGTGGAACTGACTAGCCTGTAAATGAAGAATAAAGCAATGTGCACCTGTGTTCTAAACCATACTTCAAAGGGATATGTCTTGTTCCTACGTCCACAATCTTAGAGATTTTAAAATCTAAGGAATTTTGGGGCTGGCATGATGGCTAAGTGGGTAAAGACACTTTCTGCCAAGCCTGACGTGAGCTTGATCCCTGAAACCAACATGGTAGAAGAGAACTGACTCCTATAAATTGTCCTCTAACCTCTACATATACACTATGGCATGGGGTTGCACGCACACACAGGAACACGCACAATAAACAGTTTTAACAAAATTCTACAGAATTTTAAGAATTTTAAGTCCAAGGAGGTAACTTAGTAAAGTGCTTACCACACAAACATTAGAATCTGGTGGTACATGCATTATTAATTCCAGTGCTGAGGAGATCAGTGGTTCCCTGAAGCTAATTTTCCAGCCACTCTAGCATAATCAGCAAGCTTCAAGTCCCAGCAAGAGCCTATCTCAATAAACAAGTTAACAGCTACCGAAGAACACTCAAGGGTTGACCTCTGGCCTCCTCACATACCTGCACGCACGCACATACACGCACACACACCAATTGTATATGGACATGGTAGTACATGCCTAACCAGCATTTGGGAGGTGGAGGCAGGAAGATCAGAAATTCAAGGTCTTCTTGGTCTATTTGGCTAGTTTAGTGAGTTTAAGGCTGGGCCCCATGAGACACTACCTCAAAAAAAAAAAAAAAAAAAAAAAAAAAAAAAAAAAAAAAAGGAACCAGAGAGATGGCTCGGCAGTTAAGAGCACTGGCTGCTCTTACAGAGGACCTGGGTTTGGCTCCCAGCACTCAAATGGCAGCTAACAACCATCTGTAACTCTAGTTCCAAGGGATCTGAATGCCCTTTTCTGGCCTCCACAGGTACTACATGCACCTGGTGCACTTACATCCAGTAAAAACACTCATACACATAAAATAAAAATTAATAAATTTTTAAAGAAATAAATGAAAATAGGGGACTGGAGAGATGGCTCAGCAGTTAAAAGCACTGGATGCTCTTGCAAAAAACCGGGGTTCAATTCGGTGCACCCATATGGCAACTAGCAACCATCTGTAACTCCAGTTCCAGGGGAATCCAATGTCTTCTTCTGACCTCTGCGGGTATTGCACAAGACGGGAGCACTTAACACACATGCAGGCAATATACTTCTACACATAAAATAAAAATAATAAAATATTTTTAAATAAATAAATTTAAAAGTTCAAGTATGGTTTATTTATGCTTGTGTGTCTGTGTGCATATGTTTTCATGGAAGCGCAGGGGTGCACATGGAGACCAGAAAACCTGGGCATCGTTCTCAGGAATGCTGTCTACTTCCTTTGAGACAGGATCTTTCACTGGCCTGGACCGCATCAATTAGGCTAGACTGGCTAGTCAGTAAGCCCCAGAGATCTGCTTGCCTCTGCCTTCCCAAGGCTAGGATTACAAGCCTATGTCACCATATTCAGCACTTTTACAGGGATCAAACTCAGGTCCTTGTGCTTGTAAAGCAAATATTTTACCAGTTAAGCTGCTGACCCAGCCCCGTTTTTGTTGTTTTTTAAATGTGGTTCTGTTACTTTTTTAAAGATTTACTTATTTATATTTTATGAATATGTATACCTGCATGTATGTGCACCATGTGTATGCTTGGTACCTGCAGAGAGCATTGGATACCCTAGAATTGCAGTTACAAACAGTTGTGAGCCACCATGTGGATACTGGGAACTGAACCCATGTCCTCTGCAAAGTAAGTGGTCTTAACCACCGAGCCACCTCTCTAGTTTCATTTTGGAGTTTTTTTGTTTGTTTACTTTTGGTTTTATTTATTTATTTATTTATTTTTCTTTGGTTTAAAATGGTTTGGTTTTTTAATTGGTTTTCTGCAACAAAAAAATGAAACTATAACAGTTTTAGATTTTCAAAAGATCCTCATTTTTGTCACTGGAATTTAGGTTTATTTTTAGTCAGATTAGACAATTTTTCTAGGTAGAACAGATATGAAATACATTAAGTGTTATGCATAAAGCCAGATGGAGTCAAGGGAACTGTCTGTCCCTTACAGAAAGACTCAGGATTTGATGAGAAATTTCCCAGACACAACTTTCTGAGATGTGCTCTAACGAAGCTTTGTGTCTGATTAAGAGCTGCCTTTGAGCTTTCTTCTTCAGCACCCTTGAGCTTCTTTTGCTATTTTGTGTCTTAGAAATTCAATTTTGCAAAGTTGAGTTCAAGAATCTAGATAAATACACTGTATATGCACCTCCAAGAGAATATTTTATGTGTATAAGTGTATTGCACACATATATTTAAGTGCACCCATGTCATGCAATGCCTACAGAGGTCAGAAAAGGTGTTGGATTCCCTGGAACTGGAGTTACAAATGGCCACCATGTGGGTGCTAGAACCTGAACCCAGGTCCTTTGCAAGAGCAATTAGTGCTCTTAACTGCTAAGCCATTTCTCCAGTCCCCATTTTGGTTTTTTTTTTTTTTTTGGAGACAGAGTCTCTTACTCTAGAACACAGGCTGGCCATGGACTCACTATGGCCGAGGCTAGCCTTGAACTCACAACAGTCCTTCAGCCTTCACCTCCCAAGTGCTGGAATTATAGGTGTGAGCTGCCATACTGAACAAATGGGGATTTTTATTGTTCTACTCTGCAGATACTATTTCCATCCTCTACTGTGATTAACAGCAATACAAACTCAGGGCAAAAAAAAAATAAAAACCCAAAAACCTTTGTCAAACATTTGTCTCCTAAATCACAGCCATCTGTAGCTTTTATTTGGAGCTCAGAATATTCCTGTTTCCCGAAATTAATACCTTTGGAATTTTGGCTCCTAAGTCCTGATACTGCTTTGGGTTCTTCAAGAAATTCACAAACTCCATAATTTCCAATTTGGCTTCTTCACAGCCAGCTACATCTGCAAATCGCACATCAATGTTGTTCTTTAAGATCTTGGCTGTTGTCTCACCAACACTGAAGAGGCCCCCTCCTCGCCCACCACGACCATTCCCCATTGGGCCTCTCCTCACAGCATAGAGGAGAATTCCAACCAGGAACAGAGTGGGCACTAGATTCCGGAGAAAAGAGCTGAAAAATCCAAGAAAATCATTCATTACATTCACTTAGCAAAAGGCCAAAGTTCTAGTATTAACCAGGAAGCAAACTGCTCTAGAACATCCATTGCACAAAGAAGGCAGTTTCTAAAAATGTCCCAAAGCATGCCTGGAGAATGAGCCTGTCCAATCCTGATGGCATTCTGCCTACTCCAACCCACCTTGTAGAAAGGCAAGAGAAGGCTACAGTCTTGCCTATGATCAGATAGCCTTGACAAAGCCTTAGCCATATCCCTTTCCCAGGAGACCCAGACTCAGCAGTATCAACACTTAACACCTGTTTTGTTTATTTTTCCCATATAATACCTTTTAAGGCTGACTAGCTAAACATTTTCTTGCTTTGATTCTCTTTGCAATAAACAGACATAATCAAGAGCCATGGTATACATCTCTAATCCCAATGACTTGGGAGGCTGAGACAGGAGGATCACTTAAACCCAGGACTTTGAAATTCACACAGGTAAAAGAATGAAAATTCCATCTCAAAAACAAAAAACAATTTTTAATTAAAAATAAAAATAGGTAGGCATGGTAGTGCACACCTTTAAGTTAATTAAATTAAACAGCCGGGTCTGGTGGCACATGCCTTTAATCCTAGCACTTGGAAGGCAGAGGCAGGCGGATCTCTGTGAGGCCATCTGATCTACATAGTGAGTTCCAGACCAGCTGGGGCTACAGGGAGACCCTGTCTCAAAAAACAAAACAAAACAAAAAAGAAAACAAAAATAGACTAAATTGCTGGCTGTGTTAGTGCATGCCTTTAATCCCAGCACTCAGGAGACAGAGGTAAGTAGATCTCTGTGAGTTCTAAATCAGCCTGGTCATCTACATAGCTTATTCCAAATCAGACAGTGAGACCCTGTCTCCAAAAACAAACCAAAACAAAAAAGACCAAAATTCCTTTACTAATGAGACTGTAAATATTAGTAGGTGTCTATGTCAAAAAAAGAAGCACGCTCAAGGGGCTGGAGAGATGGCTCAGCGATTGAGAACACTGGCTGTTCCTACAGAGGACCCAGGTTTGATTTCCAGCACCCATATGACAGGTAACAGCTCCCCTGACTCCAGTTCTGGGGAAATCTAACGCCCTCCTCTGACCTCCACAGGCACTGCACAATATGGGTGCATTTAAGATATATGCAGGCAATATACTCACACACATAAAAAATAATAAATAAAAAAGAAGCATGCTTCAAAATGGTTAGACATTGAATTTTTACTTCGTGTTCAGAATCAGATGCCTTAGACTACAGTTTCCCACGGTCCTCCTCATCCCTGGAACTCACCCATCATTCTCAGTAGTATAGACTATAGCAGCCTGATTGGTGGGCTCAATCCCCAGTTCCCACTGAGCAGACTCCAGGTTACGTTCAAAGGTGTCAACACTACCTATGTTAAACCACACGAACTTCTGCAGAGAGCAAGAGTAAGTTTAGGCTGTACCACTGTGTCCCAGAGGGACGTGCCCAGACATACCTATTCACAGTCTGGGTTCTCATTTACTCACTCCCCTCCCAGAAAAGCCTCTTTTCCCTAGCTCTGATCTCTACACATGGAAAGATCCCATCCTAAAGCTAGCTCTAAGGCTAACTACACATGTAACAAAAGCTCCTAGATCTAGCCACACAAAACTTCAGGCTAAGGGCTGGAGAGATGACTCAGTGGTTAAGAGCACTGGCTCTTCTTGCAGAGGACTTGGGTTTAGTTCTCAGTACCCAAATGGTAGCTGACAATTGCCTATAACTCCAGTTCCAAGGGATCTGATGCCCTCTTCTGGCCTCTGCAGGCACTGGTACACTTTACATAAATGCAGGCAAAACACTCATACACATAAAATAAAAATAACAAAATTTCAGGCTGCAAGTTCTAGACAAAATATAAAATGCTGCAACAATAGCTGGTTTCCCTTTGTCTTTTTATTCTCTACTCCCAAACTCTGACAAGTAGTACTTACACATTACTTGGCAAAAATTATAAGGGTTCTTGTATTAACCACTGTTAATTCAAGTCAATGAGATAAACCATCATAATTAACATGGGCTGTTGGACAACTGGGGAGACATTTTACTAACTACACTTCACAGGTTTCATTTCTTTTGGTTTTGTTTTTAAATATTTTATTTATTATTTTTATTTTATGTGTATGCATGTATTGCCTGCATGTAGGTAAGAGCACCCTTGTCGTGCAATGCCCACGGAGGACAGAAGAGGCTGTCAGATCCCCTGGAACTGGAGTTACAGACAGTTGTTAGCTGCCATGTGGGTGCTGGGATTCGAACCCGGGTCTTCTGCAAGAACAACCAGTGTTCTTAACTGCTGAGCCATCTCTCCAGCCCCAGGTTTCGGGTTTTTTGTGGGGTTTTGTTTTTTGGGTTTTGTTTTTTTTTTTTTTTTGGTCTTTTTGAGACAGGGTCTCCCTGCAGCCCCAGCTGGCCTAGAACTCACTATTTTGACCAGGCTGGCCTCAAACTCACAAAGATCCACCTGCCTCTGCCTCCCAAGTGCTGGGATTAAAGGCATGTGCCACCACGCCCAGCTTACACTTTTTTAAAAAATATATTATCTGGGGGACTAGAGAGATGGTGCAGCAATTAACTGGTGGTTCTCAATCATCTGTAACTCTAGATCCAGGGGATCTAATGTTTCTGCTCTCCATAGGCACCTGTACTAACATGCACATACCCACACACAGATACAATAGACATAATTAAAAATAATAAAAATAAATATTTTTTTAATGTATCTGGGACATTGGGCTTTTAATGCACACCTTACCTCAGATGTCCCAGAAGCAGGAATAACACGCACAAATTGTTTATTTACAACTTCCAGTCGGTCCACCTAGAAAAAAGAGAAAAGCAACCAAAAGAGCTGAGGAAGTAAGCAGGACATTCAAGCTGACCATAAGCATTGTAGCTCACCTAGAGCTCAGAGACAACATATCGTCTGCAGCCCAGTCCAAGTTTCATTTTCCTGCTATCTTGGATATGTTAGCCTGGGGTATGAATCTATTTCCATTTTAATAAACAAAAACCAACTCAAGAAGTTTCTCAAATTTAGTACATCTGCGCTCCATTCCAGACTGCCTTAAAACGCTAAATATGAACTTTAGGTGTTTTTTTTCTAATTCTGTGAAGAATGTCATGGGGATTTCGGTTGGGATTGCATTGAATCTATATACTGCTTTTGGTAGGACTTCTCATACACAAAGATTGTCTGCGAATTGCCGAAGCCTAAGTGGCACATCTACAATGCAACCTCTGTACCTAAGGCTCATGAAACATAGACCAAGGGGTAAAGAAAACACTAATGCACCTCCCAATTCTCATCAATGAAGTTCCCTCACGCAACAGAGGCCAGGAACACAAAAGGTCACAAATAGTCAAAAGGTAGAGAGTAAGAAGCTGTAGAGTGTAGGTGTAGGTCCTTAGACAGGATTCCTATATTAAAACTCTACCCACCCAGGGCTCAGGGACCATTGCAGAAGTGGGGGCAGAAAGATTATTAAGAGCTAGGGAAGAGGGTGTGTGGCCATATGGAAATAGGGTCCTACAGATTCCTGGGACCTTGCACATATGAACCTATAGCAATGGTGTCAGCATACACAAGACCCATGCAAACTCAAGCAGACAAAAACCCAGTACAGAACTGTAGAAATGAGCAGCAGGCTCCAATTTTAGTTGAACAATTATTGGCAGCTAATTACTGCCCAGTGAGGAAGAGCTGATCTTCTTAAAGGCTGACTAGACCTTAGTGGATGAACTTGCACTGAGGGACATCTGAGGACACTAACTTGACATGATAAGCCTTAACACAAATGACAGAATATATGAATTCCGGGTGGGGGGGGGGGCTATGGGAGAGTGACCATGGGGAAGGAGGTATAAAGATGATTAAGATTTTCTATAAAAAAAAATACACAAAAAATTCAATAAAAATTTACAAAAAAAGATACAGAATTTCTTAAACAACAAAAAAACCTCAATCAAATGTAAGTCTTATACCAACATAAAGTTAAAATCTTTGTGTGTATATATATATATATATATGATGTATATGTGACAATTTCAGGTGTCAGTCCTTATCTTCTACCCTATTTGAGACAGTCCCTCTTTGTTTTTCTGTTGCCTATGCAAGCTACCTAGTCTACAAACTTCTAGGGGATGTCTGTGCCTCCCATCTCCCCAAAGAAGCACTAAGATACAGAGAGCCATGCTATGTGTCCAGCTTTTATGTGGATTCTTGGGATTTGAACTCAGCTCACGCTTGCATGACAAGTGTTTATATATACTGAGCCATCTCCTCGCTTAGTACAGTAAAATCTTGAGGACAGAACTCATTTAGAAATATTCTATCCATCCAGATGTAGATGCCACACATACAAAAAAAAGGGGTAAGAATAAAAAGTAGTCCCAAGAGGCTCATGAGCCGCCAGCAACTGTATGGCAGACTAACGTATGTATGCCTCTGAAAACAGGAAAAGAAAGGAAAAAAAAAAAAAAGACATGGTGACTAACACCTATAATCCCAGCACTTAAGAAGCAGGATTGCTTCACATTTAAGACCAGCCTGTGCTACATACTAAGTTCCAGGTCAACCTAGGCTACAGAGTGAGAAATCTTGTCTCAAAAACAACAGAAGAGAGGACTGGAGAGATGGCTCAGCAGTTAACAGCACAGGCTGCTCTTGCAGAGGACCCGGGTCCAAGTCTTAGCACCCACATGGTGGCTAACAACCATCCATAACTCCAGTTCCAGGGAATCCAACACGCTCTTCTAACTTCTGTGGGCACTGCATGAGTGCACTTACATGCAAGCAATACATTCACACACATAAAATAAAAATATTTCAAAAGGAAAATCCCCCAAACAGAAAAAGAAACCACAACTTGAGGGTACAATCCGTTTTGTAAGTAAAATGATACAGCAGTCTTCTTCTTGTTCATAAAACAATCTTTTTTTAAGATTTACTTTAAGCCTTTAATTCTACCACCTCAGTCAAAGGCAGGCAGACCTAAGTTTGAGGTCAGCCTGATCTACATAGCGAGTTCTAAGCCAGCCAGGCTTCACAGTGAGACACTGTCTCAGAAAAATAATTTCTATTAAATTTATGTGTACGTGTATATGTGTTTCTAACTCGTGTGGGATTACCTCCAGAGGTCAAAGAGGGTGTCAGATTCCCTAGAGGTAGAGTTACAGGCAGTTGTCAACACCTGACATGGGTGCTAGGAACCAAACTTGCATCTCCTGGAAGAGCAAGTGCTCTTAACTGTTGAGCTATCACCAAAATATTCTTTTTTATTTTATTTAAGTTTTTAAAAATTTATTTTTAAGCCAGACATGGTGGCACACACCTTTAATCCCAGGACTTGGGAGGACAGGTGGATCTCTGTGAGTTTGAGGCCAGCCTAGTCTACATAGTGAGTTCCAGGCCAAGTGGGACTACAGGGGGACGCAGTCTCAAAAAGATAAAAAAAATTTATTGATTTATTCTTGCTTTATGTATGAATGTTTTGGTTGCATGTATGAAAGTGTACCTGTGCATGCAATGCCTGAGGAGGACAGAAGAGGGAGTCGGATCCCCTGGAACTAGAGTTAGCTGCCATAGGGGTGCTGGAAACCAAACCCAGGTCCTCTGTAAGAGCAGCCAGTGCTCTTAACTCCTGAACAATCTCTCCAGCACCCACCAAAAACTCTTAAACTATTACATTACTTCTCTTAGACACTAAAGGAAGCCTTAGGGCTGTATGTCTATTGTAAACATGCTCATAAGGAAGAATTCTCTCAACCATAATAAAACAGCATGTCATACACTTGAGAAAGTGAAGGAAGCTCTGGAATCTGTTCACAATCCATGCAAGGAAGACATCCTGGGTTCAAAACCCCTGTCTTACCCATCTCACAGAACACCTAGAGGTGGCAGGTCCATGGGCAGGGAAGGGCTACATCAACTCTACCCCCAACTACTCTAAGGGGAACTACCAAGCACTTCTTTAACACAGGTTTATATTCAGTGGTCAGAGAAAAAAGCCTTGGCCATGAACCCTGGTAAAAAAACAGAGTCCTGACAGATACCATAAAACAAAAGATCTAAACAGAACATCTCCCTTTTGAGGACAACTGAGGGGCAAAGCACTTGATCTTACTCAAGTTTACACTGAATCCTGAGCAGTATTTGACCCAACCTCAGCATCCAGATGGACAAACCTACATCATGAGGAAAAGAGAGTTCTGCTGATGCCATGTATATGTTTCTCTGCAGAGACATGAAACCCTACCCCTCTATCCAGGGCTGGTCTGCAGGGGCCATGGGTACAGTAAGGGAAAGAAAAGACCTGAATCAGATATGAGACTAAAATTGAAAGACCTGAATCACATATGAGACTGAAATGAACAGTACTAAGTTTTAGAAGACAAGGCTATAAGAGATAAAGCCAGGACATGATATTAGGGCAATTTCTACCCAACCACAAAGTAGGCCCAACACTACTCTGCTACATAGTTCTTGTGAAAGTTTCTGTGCCTGAGTTATGCTCCAAGGTAGTTTGCTGGGGATCTTTATCACACAGAAGACTGACTTTCAGTCCCTCCCAGAGTTTACAACTTCTTCAGGGTATTGCAAACCTCCCACACAGACCCTCCTTCCTGAGTAGGCAGACTATAAATCTCCTCACCAGACCTCTGGCCAGATAATACTGTACAAAGTGCTTCCAGGTGATCTCTTTTCCAGGATCTCGGAAACAGAAATACAAAAAACCCACAGCAACACCTGCCCCCAAAACAGCCAGATTTCGGAAATCCTTGTCGTCCCCAGGAAACTTCCCCTATGAAAGAAGAAAAGATAACACATTTTCCAGTTAAATGAAAAATTGGGTGGTTCCTTTTTAAAAAATTTTTATTGGGGGGAGGGGGGGCTGGAGGCCAGAAGACGGTATTGGATCCTTTGGAACTGGAATTATAGGCATTTCTAAGCTACCCATTATGGATGCTTATGTCCTTTGCAAAAATAGAAAGTGCTTTTAAACACTGAGCCTTCTCACCAGCCCCTATTTGTACTTGTTTGTGTGTGTGTTTATGTGTGTGCGCTGAGACTGAATCCAGGGCTTTGTGTAAGCTAGCTGAGAATTCTAGCCTAGCCACTGACCTAGGCCCCAGCCTTAGGATAGCTTCTTTATGAAAATGGCAATTTATCATTTCAGATATTATTAGAGAAGTCATCCAACCCTTCCCTTCTGAGCTATGGAAGGGGACCAGGTGCACAGTGAAACTGAACCATTCTTCTCAGGAAGAAAAATCTATACAAAAATCACACCTCAAACCTGTAGTTCACCAGAGACTCCAACAGAAGAAAAACCCATGAAGAGTTCTGCCTATACAGATAACACACAGGAGTTCTTATCTAGGCCCTTGTCCATTCTAATAGAAATCCTGACACATTTTAATAAATTTCTTAGAATCCCTGAATTAATCTGTCAGCTCATCCTAAATTGGCAGATGCTGCTGTCAGTATGTGCAGCCCTCAAAAATTCAATTTGGAACTCAACACCCAGGGTGATGCAATTAAGAGCTGGGGCCTTTGGGAAGTAAATAAGTCATGAGGAGTCCATCTTCATGTACAGGATTTGTGCCCTAACATTAGGTGGCATAGGCCTTTAATCCCAGCACTCAGGAGGCAGAGGCAAAAGGATCTCTGAATTCAAGGCCAGCCTCGTCTACATGAGTTCTGGCTCAGCCAGTACTACACAATAAGACTGTCTCAAAAGAACAAAAAGAAAGTCTTAAAAGAGTTTCTCACCAAGTGAGGGCACAGTACCAGTCCTTTCTGGATGAAGTAGTATGCAAGATTCTATTGAAAGGTGCCTTGAAAACAGAGACTAATCCTTCCACAAAGCTGGGACACACCAGCACCTTGATCTTGCACTTTCCAGTCTGTACTTATAAATGAACTTGTTTACAATTACTCAGTATAAGTAGGGCACAGTGGTGCATATTTGTAATCCTAGCACCCAGGAGGCAGAGACAGGAGGTTCACCACAAGTTTGAGGTCAGCCTAAGCTACACAGTGAGTTCCAGACCAGCCAGGGTTACATTGGGAGATCATATCTCAAAAAAGTCAAAGTAAAAAAATCAAAATAATTACTCATGGTAAGGTATTTGTCATAGTAGCAGGAACAAAATAAGACAAAGACCACAGAACCTCAGCTCTGCGGCATTTACACCCTTTAGAGAAGTGACAGCATGTCTGGGTCTGGTCCTCAGACACATACAAACCTTCGGCATCCGTTTCCACCAAGCAAATTCATCCTGCTTCCCTCCTTTCTTGCCTCCATCTCCTCTAAGCCCAGCCTTCTTTGGTTCTCCAGTTTCTAAGATAAAACAAAGTCTGTCATCACAAAATAATTATATATAATTCTCCAGAGAAACAATTCAAAGAACAGAAAAAGAACTAAAGAGATGGCTCAGTCAGTTATATACTTGCACAAGCATTAAGAACTTGAGTTCAGAATTCCAGTACCCATATGCCTATAGTCACTGGGCTAGGGCAACAGAGACAAGAGGATCACTGAAGCTTGCTAGCAAGCTACTCTAGCCCACTGGGGTAGCTCCAGGTTCAGTGAGAGACCTTGTTTTAAAAAACAAAGTGAAGGGCCAATAAGCAGGTAAAGGCAACTGCCAAGCCTGACAACCTGAGTTTGATCCATAGGACCCAAACGTGGAAGGAGAGAACCAATGCTTACAAGTTGTCCTCTGACCTCCACATGCATTCAGGCTCACTGGTTAAGAACACTAGCTGTTCTTGCAGAGGACCTGGGTTCAGTTCCCAACACCCACATGATGGCTAAAAACTGTTCATAACTTCAGTTCCAGGGGATCCAATGCCCTTCTCTGACTTCCTCAGGCACTGCATAACATGGATGCACTTACATACATATAAACAATACACCGATACTCATAAGTTTTTTTAAATCATACCATAAAAAATTTTTAAATAAAAAAATACAGTTGAGAGTAATTAATATGAACCTCTAGGCTTCATACACACATGTGCACACATGGTTGTCAGGCTTGGCAATTGCCTTTACCTGCTAAACACACATGAACACACACAAAGGGGGGGAAGAAGGTAAGAACTATTGCTGACATGCAGCTTCAGATACATATAAAATCCCTCAAATTTTACCTTACGGGTTTCAAATCTGAGCTGTTTGTTTTTGCTTACTGAGACAGGGTCTCATATAGCCCAGGCTGGCTGGAACTTACAATTCCCCTGCCTCAGCTTCCTAAAAGCTTTGACTACAGGAAACCCCACCACACCAGGCAGTCCTGAAATATAACAGCAAATCTTTTTTTTTTTTTTTGGTCTTTTTGAGACAGGGTCTCCCTGCAGCCCCAGCTGTCGTGGAGCTCACTATGTAGACCAGGCTGGCCTTGAACTCACAGAGATCCACCTGCCTCTGCCTCCCAAGTGCTGAGATTAAAGGCGTGTGCCACCATGCCTGGCCAGCAAATCTGTTTTGGCAAATACCACGGCTGCGGCTCTCCAGGCCGGGTCTTCAGCAAGAGGACTGGCTGCTCTTGCAGTTCCTGCAGACCCAGGTTTGGGTCTCAGTACCCACATAACAGCTAACAACCTTCCCTAACTCCAGCTCTAGGAGATCCAATGCCCTCTTCTGGCCTTCATGAGCATATCATGTACATGGGGCATGTATATACATATAGTCAGAACACTATACAACTTTAATTTTTTTTTTCAATTTTTTTATTTTATGTGTATGAGTGTATTGCTTGCATGTAGGTAGGTGCACCCACATTGTGCAATACCCACAGAAGTCAGAAGAGGGCGTTGGATCCCCTGGAACTGGAGTTACAGATGGTTGTTAGCTGCCATGTGGGTGCTGGGAATTGAACCCAAGTCCTCTGAAAGAGTAGTCAGTGATCTTAACTGCTGAACAATCTCTCCAGCCCTACATATACAATGTTTAAAAAAGAAAAAGAAAGAATACCATGGCTATAATGAGGAGAGAGAACAAAAATTAAAAAATAATGAGGCAAGCTGGTACAAGCATATCCCTTCTCAAGAGAATCAAGAATCAGAGGTGCCTGGTCTACACAGTTTCAGGGCAGCTTTGGCTAGTTGGAGATCCTGTCTCAAAAAACGAAATGAAACAAAAAAATCAGATGCAACAGTCATACAAGTTATAGGACAAAACAAGCCACTCCAACAACCCTAAAATAATACCATGCCAGCCCTGGGCAACACCAGAATGGAAACATGGATTAATGAGATAGAGAAAAATTTACACAATTTTTAGGGACAAAACATGAGTCTTCAGGGCTGGAGAGATGGCTCAGCAGTTAAAAGCACTGACTGCTCTTGCAGAAGACCCACATTCGATTCCCAGCACCCACACGGCGGCTACAAACCATCTTTAACTCCAACTCCAGGGGAATCCGAAGCTCTCTTCTGACCTCCACGGCATTGCACTACACGGGTGCACTCACGTACATGCAGGCAATACACTGATACACATAAAATAAAAATAATAATAAAAAAATATTAAAAGAAACATGAGTCTTCAAGAAAACTTTCCATTGTAGCAAGATGCGTAACCATACCTCCCAATATGCTTATATGTACTTCTTCCTATTTAACACTCATGGGTATCTAAGCAGTGAAAAACACATCTGTTAAATACTGGCTTCACTGATCCCCAAACCCATCCAAATCACTAAACAGTAATACAACTTAAAAAATGATTCATCAAGGCTTAGATCCAAACAAGCTAAGAAGATAGTGAGAAATGAAGACAAAGACAAGGAAAAGGATGACTTGGGAGCAAAAGGCAGCACTCACAAACAAGCAGAGAAAATAAGGGTAACCTCAGACACATAGACCTACCTGCTTGTCACTTCCCAAGATAAAACTCAACATCAGCCAATGCTTTAAAATACTCAAACATGGCATGCATGGTAGCTCACACCTTTAATCGCAGCACTCAGGAGGTAGAGTCAGGTGGATATCTGTGAGTTCAAGGCCAGCCTGGTCTCCATAGTGAGTTCGAGGCCAGCTGGGGCTACAGGGAGACCCTGTCTCACAAAGACCAAAAAAAAAAAAATACTCAACCATAAAACTTGATGGTTTGACTTAGCAAACTGGCCCTTTTTTACCTTTTTTTGGAGCTACTGAATTTCTTGAGTCTGTACTTCTTTCATTCTTAAAGACTTTCTCAAACCCTTAGGGACAGAATGGAGAGGTTCTAGTAATTGTAAGAAAAAAAATAATAATCATACTCGGAAAAACAACAATATAGTTAAATCAGGCAGAGAAAGTAAGGGACGCCAGCTTTCCTTCTTGTCTTCTCCTTTCTTGGGAAAAATCAACATGCAGCCAAAAACTAAGATGAGGGCTGGGGAATATCCTCTACTCTCTGAAGACAGAGGTCTTCAGAGGCTTCTGTGAGTGTGGTCCCATTGCTCAGAGCACTAAGCTCAGGTCTATGGCCTGCGCTGAGGGGCTCTAGGCAAACCAATGTGTTTCAGCTAACTACAGTTTATTTTACTTTCAAAAACATGAGACTTGAGTTCTCAGAATCAGCTAAGCAAAAACAGAAATTTATCTCCATAACCTCCCAAAAAATTCACCAAAAAATATTCTTCTGAAACAGTTTCTCTTTTGCCAGTGTCACCGGCATATCAAAATGATAAAGGCATAGAGGTATTGTAGTGTAGTTCAATAAGGAAACTAGAGAGATCCGAGCATTCTAGCTGTCATGCCCCCTTATACCCTGCTTAGTGGAAGACATGCTGAGGAAGCTACACTAGTCCCTATAAACTTTATGTCACTAGAGAAGGTAAAAGAAATAAGTTACCTTTGGGTGGTTTTGAACACAGCCATTGGGAAAATGAAGTCAATCGTCCCTGCAGAGGAAGCTGCTGCAAGTGCATCCCCTGGAGGAACTGAAACAGGAGAGAGGGTTAGCTAAACTGCTTCTGCAATACAACACAACATCTAGAGTGGCCAGACAGGCTACAAAGGACAGGATTTAGATTCAGGACTGAGGTGTAACTTGGTCCCTTCATTTACCTACTTGAATATGGTTCAACAGAATAATCAAGAACTAAATTCACTGCAGAAATTCATAAAGCATCTTTATAGATATAATGGGAGAGGGGACACTAAAAAAATGAAATAACCATTTCTTGTCTGAGGCAATCTTAATAACAATAGTTTCAAAAACAAACACAAACACAGGGCTGGTGGCCCTGTAATTCCAGGACTTGGGAGGCTGAGGCAGGAGGATCACCAAAGCCAATCTCAGCTACATAGTGAGACCATGTCTCCAAAAAAAAAAAAAAAAAAAAAAAAAGCCAGGCGTGATGGTGCATGCCTTTAATCCTAGCACTTGGGAGGGAGAGGCAGGATCTCTGTGAGTTCTAGGCCAGCCTGGTCTACATAGTGAGTTCCAGGCCAGCTAGAGCTATAGGGCGACCCTGTCTCAAAAACACCAACAAAAGAAAAAAAAAAAAAAAGAGGGGTGTGGGCGCTGTAATGCCGGGCGTGGGGGGGGGGGGGAGGGGGAAAACCAAAACCACATCCCCCCCAAAGGGGGAGACCTTTCCAAAAAAAAAAAAAAAAAGCAGGGGGTGATGGGCCATGCCTTTAACCTTAGCACTTGGGGGGGGGGGGGAGGGGGAAAACCAAAACCACATCCCCCCCAAAGGGGGAGACCTTTCCAAAAAAAAAAAAAAAAAAAAAAAAAAGGAAAAGGAAAAAAGAAACAAAGCAAGGAATTTGGAATATCTGCAATTTTTGTTATGATGAAATTCATCCCATACATAATGGCATCTGTGTAAATTTAGGTGTATTGAGAAAGACTCTGAAGACTATTCCCCCAACATAAATCCATTCCCCAATTATTAATTTGCTAATTCACTAAAATTATTCAAATAACCCTATTAAAAGCCATAGTGGACCAAAATGTAAGGTAAGCCATAAGAAGGATGTTAAAATCAAAAGAAGATCTAAACAAGCAAGCTCAGAAAGAAGCTAGCAGCAACAGCTATGACACCAAACCGTTACTAAAAGTACAGGCTACAAGATGAAGGACTTCTCTGCCATCAGCAAACCTCTGTTGCAGCAGATCATCTGGGCATCAGAGGAACAGTACCTCACACGGACTGAATAACAATGCCAATGTTACCCTAATGTAGGTTTGGAAACAAAGTGTTGTTCAACAAGAGATCTAGACAAAGATCAGGTGACTATTACCAGGCAATGACAGGGTGCCCACATTTGATCTTTCTCACTCACCCTAAGAAAGTAGGTGTTATCATCCCCAGTGAAGAGAAAAAACAAAAATTAAAGATATCTATGTATGGTGTGGTAGCACATATCTACAATTCCAGCACGGGCTGAGACAGAAAGATCATAAGTTTGAGGCTAGCTTATGCTACACAGCAAAACTAGTGTTAATAAAAAAAAAAAAATAAGGCAACTAGTATCTACAGTGTATGATGAGAATTCTGGTTCCCAAACCTTCTATGGCTTCTCCAGGAATATACCAAGAAGGAAGCAGCACTGGCACAGGTTGCTCCATAGCTATCAGTGACCTACAACTGGTGACCTACAACTCTAGAGGTACCAAGTATAATTCTTCAAGAAACCAAAACTTGAAATAACATCCAATTCCATTGTTTTAATTAATGACTTAGTTCATTTCTTATGAGGTTAGGAGCATCTGGCTCTCACTGCAGATGGAAACACTGGGACTCCAGCTTCTGGTGCCTTCCTGGAGTTTGGTTCCTGGTCAATTCTCAGCTCACAGCAGGGAAGCTTCAAGGAAACTTAATACCCTAGTCTGTGCATGTGCAAAGCCAAGACATGAATGTGGCACATCAAGGTCTCTTTCTGGTCAGAACACACATTAGGACACTCCAATCTGTATGTCACAAACACATACTACAGACATAACAAGACCTTACAAAGTCCTGCATCTTCTGACTTTAATGTTTCACTAAACCCTTCTCAACGTTATAATGGAACACACCAACTGGACCTACCTCAAGGCAGTTGCTATTCTACCTGCCTGGCACCTAAAGAAAAAAAAATCTTAAAAAAAATTAAGCTGGTCGGGTGTGGTGGCACACACTTTTAGTCCCATCACTGAAGCAGGAGGAGGATCTCTGTAAGATAGAGGCCAGTCTGATCTACACTGCGATTTCCAGGCCAGCTGGAGCTACAGGGAGACCCTGTCTCAAAAAGATAAAAATAAAATAAAATAAAATAAAATAAAATAAAATATGGAATATTCACATTTCCTTTTCCATAAAAGAGTGTCACAGTAGACTGGGGATATAGTACAGTTGTAAGGAAACAGAAAGCAGGAAGGAGATGAAAGGAAATGGACCTTGAGAGCTTCTACAGGACAGATTAGAGAATAAACCTGAAAGAACACCCCCTCACTCCCAACCTCCACCCTACACAGCCTGGGGGCTGGAGGAGAACACAATCTCCCTTACAGACTCAAGAGTTTTTATATTTTCTCCCTTCAAGAATGGGGAAAGGGTTTGGCACTGAGGTTGTATCATCTCCAGCAGGTGCAAGGTGGATTTTCCTATTATGAGAAGAGTCAGTCATGTAGGACTCCAGTTCAGGGAGTTCCCTGTAATTAGGACTGAGCCAGATTAGAGGAGTCAGTAGGGGGTGGGCTGCTGTTTTCTGGGAAGGTAGCCAGAGGGCAGTAACCATGCAAGAAGCATTCAGGACACTCCTCTCTTATTTCACTCCTACTACTTGGCATAATGCCTACCTCTGCTCTTAACAATCATCAATGTGTCCTTCTCAAAACTTCCTCCTCTTGAAATGCCAAGCATACAACTCCTCCTCTATGAGCACCCATGAAACACCCCTTCCTGTCCAATTCCTCAATCCTCCTTCAGCATCTAACCATGGTCTTCTTAGTCACTTCCTTTAGGTAGGAACAGAAACTGCAACTACTCACTGTCGACCTCAGGGTATGCTTGGAACCCAGACAGGGAGTTTTCTTTGCCTGTAGAGTCTATTACAGAAGTTCTCAAGCTGCTATTCAAGACCCCATAAAAACCATCCCCCTCTTAACAAGGATATGCACTACCTTCTTCTCCCCATCAGTCAGAAGGAAACAGATGTAATGACAACTCCTCCAACACACACAAGCCCATCCATTTACATCCCTCTTAAGAGTTAGGAATGATGCAGAAACACTAGGTCCTGAATGCTTCCTGCATGGTCACCACTCTGGCTACCTTCCCAGAAAGCAGCAACTCACCTAACAACCTGCTCCTCTGATGAGACTCAATCCCAGTCACAGGGAACTCCCTGGAGTCCCACATAACTGACCCTCCCTGTATTAGGGAAACCTGCCCTGCACCTCCTGGAAATGACAAGACCTCAGCCCCAAACCCCTTCCTCCTCCCTGAAGAGAGAAAAATATAAAAACCCTAAGTCTATGAGAGGTTGTGCCTTCCTCTGGATCCCAGGCCCTGGGGGAGGTGCCCTCTCAGTTTTATTCTCTAACAAATCTACTTTGTCTGCAGAACATTGGTTTTCCTTCGTCTCCTTCCTATTTCCTTACAGCAGTGTAGAGCATTTGCCAGCATGTCCAAACCCCTAGGTTCGATTCTCACGAGGCATCGCAAAGAAAAAACAAGGTTAAAGCAATGCCTACCTACTGCACATGTGAAAGACATGAGTTAGATAACCAACGTGAAGCTCTAACACTTAAGCCCTTGGGCATTATTAAAACGGCGATACAGTGAGGCTCAAGGAAAATCCGTTGAATAGATAACCGGAACCGTTTACAAAACTCTTCCACATCCATTATCCTATCTGGCTCGAAGAGCAAGTTTGCAGGTAAAACAGGTGTTAGTGCTACCTAGAGGAACCAGGGCTCACAAATCCCTGAACCTCTCTGTCTCTAGAGACAAAGGAGCCGCAGGAGACTCATGCTCCGTTTCCAGGGCGAAGTTCGGAAGACAGCAAGATAGCATCGTGGTATTGGAGGACGGAGAGGTAGCGAGACCCGTAAAAGGTACGGAGGCTCGCGCAAGCAAGAACCAGCCAGTCACGGATGTCTCCGTCGCTGGCGACACCTCTGAAAGGTCCAGCGGAAATAAGAGGCTGCTCCCTACAAAGCCGGCGCATGCGGATGACGTCACGGTGGCGCCCACTGCAGCACTCACCGGGCCATCCGGAATTTGGGCAGCGTTTCCCCTCTCACCTGCCGAGCGGTGCCAAGGGCTCTCACTCTGATCCAGGCCGTCCCGCCTCTTCCTGCACCGCCGCCACATCGCCACAACACGGAAAGTGGACAGGCCACGGCTCGACTGCCGGCCGCTGCCACCAGTCGATGTAACATTTCCTGTCCCGCCCCGCCCCCAACCTGGTGCTGCCTGAGCACGCGCAAGCGCAGCAGACAGGTCATAGTGCGCCACGCCCTGGTATGGGCGCTTGCGCAGCATTGGCTGGGACCCTCAGATGTCCACTTCGTTGCCTGATTGTTTGAGTTGTGAAACCGAAGCGCTGGAGCTTTTCACTGCTGAGCAGCCGCCTTAGCCTGACACCACGTTCATAATCAACGCCTTTAGCCTGTTTTTTTTTTTTTCCTTTTTGGTCTTCTTTTTATTAGGGTTTTAAACAGCAGCAGCCTCCCTCTCCCCAACAGGGTCCCATGGACTTTGGATTTCTCAAGCCTGAAAAAGGGAACTGAGCTGATAGGCACTTGGCCTTTGAAGTCAAGGGAAGCAAATTCTTCTAAGAGGTAGCCTGCCTTTCCTCTGATCTCTGAAGACAAGATGAGCAGATTCTGCCTGTTAACCAGAGATTTTAGGAGCTGTTTTAGTATAGTAGCTTTTCCCTTATCTTAGGAGGACCAAAAAAAGTAAACACTTCTTGACCTAGATCCTGGCTGACAGACGGAAAGGAGCCAGGTTTACAAGCCCTGCTTTTCCTACCACCACCACCACCACCCCCACCCCCGCCTGATTTTTTTCCCAAATAACTTCCCACCTTCTGCACCCTGAAGCACCTGTATATAAGCCCCAGCTCACAATCCGTGGGCTATTTTCTCTTCCCCGAAGGGTTCGTGTCCCGTGGGAAATAAAGCTCTAGCTGCTGAGCATTTTATCTGGGTCTTGGTGCCTCATCCTCCTTTCCCTCCTTCTCTCCCAAATTTTTACCTATCACTTTTTAGATGGGGTTTCTTTGTAGCCCCAGCTGCCCTGGAACTCAATATGTAGTAAACTAGGCTGGCCGTGAACTCAGAGGTCCACCCGCCTCTGCTGGGATTAAAGGCGTGCACCACACGCCCGGCCAAACTTATTTTTAATGTATTTATAAGTGTTTTGCCTGCATGTTTGTAAGTGTACCCTTGGAACTGTAGTTGTGGACAGCAGTTAGCTGAGGTATGAATGAGGATACTCTACTAGGGCAACCGGTGCTTTTAACCCCTGAGCCATCGCTCCAGCCCCTAGACTTATTTTAAATAAAACATCCTTCTTGCTACCTATGGTTTGGGTACCTGTGGGAAGTACCATACAAAACAGCTTTTGGAGACAGCCTCTCCTTGCCCTCAAGGGTCCACCCCTTAGAGGTGTTTCCTCAGCTGATCTAAACTTGGATAACACCTTATCAGCAAAGGAACTGTGTGGTACACTTCTTGCCTCATTGTTCTCTCCCGTGGACCTCTGGTTGGTTGGTTGGTTGGTTGGTTTGGTTTGGTTTTATGTTGTTTATTTGAGACAGGGCCTATCCGTAGCCCCAGCTGACTTGGAACTTACTATGGACACCAGGCTGACCCCCAGTTGGCTTCCTCACTATGGAGATCTGCCTGCCTCTGCCGACTGAGTGCACCACCACACCTGGCTCATTGTTCGCTTTTCATTGTTTAGCTTGTGGTGTTATGGGGCCATGCCATTTTTGATACGCCCAGAGTTCTGATCAGAAATTTGGACTCGAACACTGAAGAGGCCTACCTGTGAGTGGAGAATGAACCTGTCTGTTCTGTACAATGGGGCTGTTTACATACTCCATCTGTGTGCCCCCAAGTTCTTCAAGGTAGTATAAGTTGGGCACAGGGTAACCACAATCTTCTGAAAGCACCAAGGCTGCTTTGACTTATTACATTTCAGAGGCAGAAATGCCTGGGAAAGGCCCTTAGATGCCTTTGTCATCCATAATGCCTGCCAAAAGGGGACAGAAGGAATTACCTTCAACATCAAATTATGAGGTTGTTAGGACAGTTCAAAGTGAGTGAAAAACTTAGTCAAATCTCAAAAGCCTTTGGCCTTATACTGTCTACAGTGGTAACCATCTGAGATAATCATTTTTTAAAAATCAAGGCATGTTCACAAATACCTACTCCCTTGAGAGCTTTTTGGTTGACATGCCGTAGAAGTGCCATAATGGAGAACATGGAGCGATTGTTGAGCATGTGGCTTGAAGACCAGAGCCACCAGAATATGCCCTGTGTCAACATTATTCAGAAGAAAGCTAAAAACTTGATGACTTTACAGGAGGAACAAAGAGAAACATCTCAAATGGAAAAAAATTAGCACAAGGAAAGAGTAGTTTGTGAGGTTCAAGGATGAACAGCACAATTCCCAGCAACAGGGATTTGTGTCCAGAAATACTGAAAAAAATCACTGAAAGAGGGACATACATACAATCCCCAGCAAGTTTTTAATGTAAATGAGGGCTTTAGTGGAAGAAAAATCATCTGAAGATCTTTTGATGATGCTGTTTGGAGGAAATACAGCTAGGGATTTTTAAGTCAAAGCCCTTACTGGTGTACCACCTGAAAAACTCCAAGGCTTTGAAGGGGTACTCAAAACCCAATTTTCCTGTGATTTGGCACTCAAACAAAAAGCTTGAGCCACCAGAGACATCTTTCATAAATGGTTCACATACATTTTTTGCCCTGCCATTCAAAACTAGTATATCCAGAGTAATCTCACGAACAAAACACTGCTCGTCCTAGACAGTGCACTATGTCACCTGGTAAACTTGAATGGTTGTTCTCATAATGCTAAATTCAGTATCTTCATGAGAGAACACCAGACTCCATCCAGCCTGTATTAGTCACTTTTCTGTTGCTGTGATAGAAACACTGACCCGAGCAACTTATAGAAAGAAGAGTTTATTTGAGCTTATGGTTCCAGGGGAATTAGAGTCTGTCATGGCAGGGAGGCATGGTGGCTGGAGGTCACTGGAACAGGAGCAGCAGAAGTGAAGCTCTCACATCATCAGGCAGACACAGGAAGCAAGAGAACAACTGGAGATCTGGCAAGGCTTAAGAATTCTCTAAGCCCACCCCCAGTGACATGCTTCCTCCAGGATAGCCACACCTTCTAAAACCTCCCAAAACAGCGCCATCATCTGGGAACAAAATGTCTGGAGCCTATGGGGGACATTTTCATTCAAACCACCACACAGCCCATGGTCCAAGGGGTAGTCTCAGTTTTCAAACCTCATTACCTGAAAAGAACTTTTTAAAGTGCATCTTAGAAGCAGCAAATGGTGAACACAGAGCTGGAGAGATGGCTCATCGGTTAAGCCCACTGGCTGCTCTTGCAGAGGACCAGCGTTCAATTCCTAGCACCCACACGGCAGATAACAACTGTCCATAATTCCAGTTCCACGGGATCTGTTATACCTTCTTCTCTATACAACATGGGTGTACTCACATGCAGGCAATACGCTCATTCACTCATACACATAAAAATAATTTTAAAAATTTAAAAATCAGCCAGGCGTGGTGGCGCACACCTTTAATCCCAGCACTTGGGAGGCAGAGGCAGGTGGATCTTTGTGAGTTCAAGGCCAGCGTGGTCTACATAGTGAGTTCCAGGACAGCTGGGGCTACAGGGAGACCCTGTCTCAAAAAGACCAAAAAAAAAAATTCCAACGGTGAAGATACAGCTATGATCAGGGAGTTTTGGAGTGACTACAACATCATGGATGCTGTGGACAACATTGAAGTAACTTGAGAGGAACTCAAAACAGTTGTGAACAGCATGTAGAAGATTTGGCCAGAGTTTTTTCCAAACAGATCATATTGCATATCTTCAACAAAATATATTGTATGTCTTACTAAGAATGTGGCACTGTAAGAGGTTGTAGAGGCTGATGTGGACCAGTTGCTTCAGTCCCATGAAGATCTCTCAAGGGTTAGGTATGGTATCACATGCCTTTAATCCCAGCACAAGGAAAGAAGGAGGGAGGGAGGAAAATAAAAGAGAAGAAAGAAAGGGAGGGAGAGAGAAATTTAGTTCTCTCAAATTAGGAACTAATGGAACTGGAATGGGAGCAGGCAACAGGTGAGGAAGAGAGTGAGGATGTTGTAGCTGCCCATGCCAGCTGGCCTCAGAACAGCTGTTATTAGCCTTCTCATATTTTGAGACCAGATTACAGGTCATACCAGTAACAGCCCTAATGATGAGTGTTAACCAAAAGTGTCAAGAACAACTGATACAATAAGCTGCTACAGGAACTGTATGAGAAGAAACCGTACTCAAAGAAAATATGATGCTTTTCAGTGTATAGCCGAAAGTTAAAGTGAAGCCTTTAATCCCAGCTCTCGAGAGGTAGAGGCAGGTGAATCTCTGACTTTGAGACCATCCTGGTCTGCATAGGGAGTTCCAGGCCATCCAGGCTACTTAGTGAGTCTCTATCTTTAAAAGAGAAAGAGAGAGAAATGAGCAGCATTTGAGGAACCACACCTGAAATTGACCTCTGGCCTCCATGGGCACACCTTCATATGCAGTTAAACAGACACAATTTTTTGGGTCTTTTTGAGACAAGGTTTCCCTGTAGCCGCAGCTGTCCTGGAACTTACTATGTAGACCAGGCTGGCCTCAAACACACAGAGATCTGCCTGCCTCTGCCTCCTGAGTACTGGGATTAAAGGTGTGCACTACCACGCCCGACAACAGACACAATTTTTAAAAATTTTATTTGTGTGTGTTTGTGTGTATGATACAGGGGACATGCATGCCACAGACTACATATGGAGGTCACCAGACAACTTTGTGGAATCAGTTCTCTTCCACCTTTACATGCTTCTAGGGATCAAACTCAGGTCACCAGGCCTATATGCAAGCACCTTTACCCACTAAGCACTAAGCCATCTCACTGGCCCATAAATATTTTTTTAATGTATCTGTATTAAGTTCAACATGGTGACATATGCCTGTAATTCCAGCATTTGGGAAATGAAAGGAGGAAGATTGAGAGTTCAAGGCCAAATTTGGCTACATACTTCAAGCCTATTCTGTCTCAGAAAAACAAGGGAAAGCATATATATGTACACACATTTAACATACTACATATTTAAATATGTGGTCTCAGAAAATTGCATGCAAGGCTGGGTGTGGCTGAGCATGCCTTTAATCCCAGCACCTGGGAGACAGGTGGATCTCTTTGAGTTCCAGGCCAGCCAGGAGCTGGCTACATAGTGAGCCTGCTGGCGGAGGCGGGGGGCGGGGGTGCGACACGACACACAGCTGGAGAAATGGCCCAGCAGTTGAGAGCACTGGCTGCTCTTCCATAGGACCCAGGTTCAGTTCCCAGCACAGATGGTGGCTAACAGCCATCGGGAAACTCCAGTTTCAAAGGATCTGATACCCTCTTCTGGCCTCTGCAGGCACTTCACAACATGGGTGCATTTACATACATGCAGGCAAAACATTTATACACATAATAAATTAAATAAAACCCTGCTTTTTCTTTGCAGTCTTTCCTCCACCCAGCAGCCAGCCCTCACCATTAAGGTCAGGCTATGCAGTTTTACCAGGTGCAATAGCTACAGAGACACAGGCATGCTACAGCCGATGGAAAGATTTTCCAGTTTCTTAATGCAAAATGTGAGTCTGCATTCCTTTACAAGAGAAATCCTTGGCAGATAAACTGAACTGTCCTATATGGAAGAAAACACAAAAATGAATACTCAGCTGGAGCTGGAGAGATGGCTCAGCACTAGCTGCTTTTCCAGAGGATCTGGGTACAGTTCTAAGCACCCATACAGAAGCTAACATCTATCTGTGGCCATTGCATGACACAGATATACTTATATACATGCAGGAAAAACACTCAAAATTTTTTAAAGAACAGAAGAAATTCCAAAAAGAAACTGATGTACAGTCAATGGGCCATCAATGGTGCATCTCTTGCTGATATAATGGTTAAGAGTCAGAAACTGGAAATTAGGAAACCTAATGAGAGCAAACTATCAGGGCTTCCAAGCAAAACAGGCTAAGTAGGCATATGACTAAGACCATAATGGCAGCTGCTAAGGTTCCCGCAAAAGCAGCACCTAAGCAAAGATTGTGAAGCCTGTGAAGGTTTCTGCTTCCCAAGTTGGAGGAAAACATTAAATTGTAATAAAAAAATTCTTTGGTCTTTTTGAGACAGGGTCTCCCTGTAGACCCAGCTGTCCTGGAACTCACTATGTAGACTAGGCTGGCCTTGAACTCACAGAGATCCACCTGCCTCTGCCTCCCGAGTGCTGGGATTAAAGGTGTGTGCCACCATGCCTGGCCATGTATTAAAATTTTTAAAGATCCATCTGTGCAGGCATTACATGACATGGGTGCACTTACATACATGCAGGCATAACACTCATACACATAAAAATAAATATTAAACATATTTTGGGGCTGGAAAGATGGTTCAGCAGTTAGCACTGACTGCTCATGCAGAAGACCCAGCTTCGATTTCCAGTACCCACATGGCAGTTAACAACCATCTGTAAGTCCAGTTTCAGGGGAATCTGATGCCTTCTTCTGAACTCCACGGGGCATTGCACAACACAGGTGCACATACACTTATACACATGAACATATATATAAAATTATTTTTTTAAAACGTCTTCAAGGTGATATTCAACTTTTCAATTCAGTGTTTCCAATTATAACTGTCCCAAATGAAACTGAAATTATGGCAAACTCAGATTAAGGCAAAAAATTGTATACATTTCTGCACATTGGCTGAACATGAATGAATAAATATGGCTAAACTGTGAATAGCAAAATATGTAGCCTTGCTTTTCAATTTGATACAAGTATTTTAAAACATTTCAAAATTTCTGGGAAAGTAATAGTTGGCAAATTTGCAATTCCATTTTCAGTTGACATAAATATGTTACCTGCTAATTTTCAAATGGAATACATACAGTTACAATCTGACATTCAACTTAAAAATTTGATTATATCTCTACTAGACTTTTTTGTTTATTATTTTTATTTTATGTGTATGCATCTATTGACTACATGTAGGTAAGTGCGCCCATGTCATGCAATGCCCGCGGAAGTCAGAAGAGGCTGTTGGATCCCCGGGACTGGAGTTACGGACAGTTGTTAGCTGCCATGTGGGTGCTGGGATTCAAACCCAGGTCTTCTGCAAGAATAACCAGTGTTCTTAACCACTGAGCCATCTCTCCAGCCCCTCTACTAGACTGTTATAGGTCTTATCTTCCCAGGATCACATACCCTCAGCTTCATAATTATGCCTTATTCATGTCATCAGTTTTGGCAGCATCTACATTTGTGAGCAACTA